TTTTATTTGTTGTGAAAATAAATAAAATTTTTTATTTCAGTTTAGGACATTAAAGAAAGATGATATCTGAGGCTTAGAAGAATAACAGCTCGTTGAATTCTAGGAATTATTATTTGTAATATTATAACAAATTTCGTTGGAAGTTTGTAAGTAGTTCAGTTCTAATTCATTTCTAGTTCAGTTCTAGTTCAGTTCTAGTTATGTCCTAGTTCAAGTTCAGTTCTAGTTGAGTTCTAGTTCAGTTCTAGTTGAGTTCTGGTTGAGTTCTAGTTCAGTTCTAGTTGAGTTCTAGTTCAGTTCTAGTTCAGTTCTAGTTCAGTTCTAGTTCAGTTCTAGTTCAGTTCTAGTTCAGTTCTAGTTCAGTTCTAGTTCAGTTCTAGTTCAGTTCTAGTTCAGTTCTAGTTCAGTTCTAGTTCAGTTCTAGTTCAGTTCTAGTTCAGTTCTAGTTCAGTTCTAGTTCAGTTCTAATTCAGTTCTAGTTCAGGCTAGTTCAGTCTAGTTCAGTTCTAGTTCAGTTCTAGTTCAGTTCTAGTTCAGTTCTAGTTCAGTTCTAATTCAGTTCTAATTCAGTTCTAGTTCAGTGCTAGTTCAGTTCTAGTTCAGTTCTAGTTCAGTTCTAGTTCAGTTCTAGTTCAGTTCTAGTTCAGTTCTAGTCAGTTCTAGTTCAGTTCTAGTTCAGTTCTAGTTCAGTTCTAGTTCAGTTCTAGTTCAGTTCTAGTTCAGTTCTAGTTCAGTTCTAGTTCAGTTCTAGTTCAGTTCTAGTTCAGTTCTAGTTCAGTTCTAGTTCAGTTTCTAGTTCAGTTCTAGTTCAGTTCTAGTTCAGTTCTAGTTCAGTTCTAGTTCAGTTCTAGTTCAGTTCTAGTTCAGTTCTAGTTCAGTTCTAGTTCAGTTCTAGTTCAGTTCTAGTTCAGTTCAGTTCTAGTTCAGTTCTAGTTCAGTTCTAGTTCAGTTCTAGTTCAGTTCTAGTTCAGTTCTAGTTCAGTTCTAGTTCAGTTCTAGTTCAGTTCTAGTTCAGTTCTAGTTCAGTTCTAGTTCAGTTCTAGTTCAGTTCTAGTTCAGTTCTAGTTCAGTTCTAGTTCAGTTCTAGTTCAGTTCTAGTTCAGTTCTAGTTCAGTTCTAGTTCAGTTCTAGTTCAGTTCTAGTTCAGTTCTAGTTCAGTTCTAGTTCAGTTCTAGTTCAGTTCTAGTTCAGTTCTAGTTCAGTTCAGTTCTAGTTCAGTTCTAGTTCAGTTCTAGTTCAGTTCTAGTTCAGTTCTAGTTCAGTTCTAGTTCAGTTCTAGTTCAGTTCTAGTTCAGTTCTAGTTCAGTTCTAGTTCAGTTCTAGTGCAGTTTTAGTTTAGTTCCAATACAGTACTAGTTAACTTCTAGTACAGTTCCAATATGGTTCTAGTTCCGTTCGATTACAATTCCAATACAGTTTTTGTTAAATTCTAGTTTAGATTCTGGTTAAAGTATAGTTCTAGTCAATTTCTATTCTTTAGTTCAAATTTGAAAAAGTTCGTTCCCCAATCTCCCTCTTTATACAATCCTCACACAAAATGATCTAAACCTAACTTTTTACTTGCTTTTATCAATGTAAATGTCAAATATTAATAGCAAATGTTACTGCTTTTGACACACGCTGAATAAATCATTTTTAATTGAGTAAATTATTAGATTTGAAAAATTACAAAATACTCTATTCCCCAAATTAGTAAAATCGCCCATTGTACACGTCGAAATAGAAATAAACTTCACACCACCAAAAGAAACATACAGCAAGCATCCTATAGTCAGTCATCAGCAAACGCGATCATCATCATTAACCAAATATGTTTAAATTCTTTTTGTTTTGCTGGATTCTAATAAATCACCTTAAATAATGACGTGACATTTCGAGGTCAAAATCACGAAAAAAAAAAATATTTTTTTTGTGAATAAAACTCTAATTTATGATTTTTTAACAAAATTTAATTGCACTAAATTTTGATTGTTGTTATTGAAAGTAAAAACCATAAAAATAATAATAATTGTTGCACACTTTTAGTCCACAAACAAATAAAATAATAAAAAAACACGCACAAACACACTTAAGCTGTTTGTCGCACACTCTCAGCAAATAATAGCAATTCCCAACCATTTTTTTTTTTAATACAAACAACAACAAAGCAACAACCACCTGTTTTTATATAGCCATCCATTTTTATAACAGTGATGACGAGATCACGTCATCATTTTATTGTACTTGTTAACGTTATTTTTTCTCCTCTCTCTCTCCCTTATAAATTATACCCTTCTCCTGATTTCCCACTCTGTTTTGCTAATTTCTATTTTTTATACTGTTAGAAATTTGGATCATTCTTGCAAAATTTAATTGTTTTAAAGAGCAAATAAAGCATAAAGTAATAAAATTGAATAATTTAATAACAATAATAAAAAATAAATTAATTTTGTGTGTTTAGAATGACCTAAACCTGGACTGAAAGTGAAATTAATGATGATTATTTTAATGATAATATTGTGTATGTACGTGCTTTATATTTTTCTATAGAAAATTATTTTTTTTTTTGTGGGCGATCGCTTGTAGGTATTATTAGCGTGTCTGGTTTAGGAGGACGCCTTCTAAGCTATTAGCATTATTATTGTTATTGTTATAATTGTATTACTTTTTTGTGCAAAATTTTAAATATTCGAAAATAATCCGATTTAGTTTTAAAAGAAAGATTTATAGACCTCAACCTTTTTGGAATATTAAATATTGTGGTAAAAAATGTTGCAGACAACACAACTTACTGGTGTCTTCTTATACTATAGCGAATGTTGTCTACAACTATAGTTATGGATCGATGATGATTTCTCTAGATCTGACATAAGCAGAGATTGATTTGATATTAAGAGAGTCCGCGAGAGAGGACCTGAAACCTTGTTCACAGATCCTTCGAGTATAGCCGTCACTCGGGTTGTTACCTTGACTTTTGAGGCCTTAGTAGTTACCGAATCAGGGGGTTTCATCGGCGTTTTGCCAATAGGGGTTGAGCTGCTTGTGAGGCTAGAATATAGACTAGACTATAGACTAGACTATAGACTAGACTATAGACTAGACTATAGACTAGACTATAGACTAGACTATAGACTAGACTATAGACTAGACTATAGACTAGACTATAGACTAGACTATAGACCAGACTATAGACCAGACTATAGACCAGACTATAGACCAGACTATAGACTAGACTATAGACTAAACTGTAGACATAAGCAAAGATTGATTTGTTATTAAGAGAGCTAGCGAGAGAGGAGCTGAAATCTTGTTCACCGTTCCTTCGTGTATAGCCATAAATGGGGGGTTGTTACCCTTGACTTTTGAGGCCTTAGTAGTTACCGAATCAGGGGGTTTTCATCGGCGTTTTGCCAATAGGGGTTGAGCTGCTTGTGAGGCTAGAATATAGACTAGACTATAGTATAGACTAGACTATAGACTAGACTATAGACTAGACTATAGACTAGACTATAGACTAGACTATAGACTAGACTATAGACTAGACTATAGACTAGACTATAGACTAGACTATAGACTAGACTATAGACTAGACTATAGACTAGACTATAGACTAGACTATAGACTAGACTATAGACTAGTCTATAGACCAGACTATAGACTAGACTATAGACTAGACTATAGACTAGACTATAGACTAGACTAGACTAGACTATATACGACTAGACTATAGACTAGACTATAGACTAGACTATAGACTAGACTATAGACTAGACTATAGACTAGACTATAGACTAGACTATAGACTAGACTATAGACTAGACTATAGACTAGACTATAGACTAGACTATAGACTAGACTATAGACTAGACTATAGACTAGACTATAGACTAGACTATAGACTAGACTATAGACTAGACTATAGACTAGACTATAGACTAGACTATAGACTAGACTATAGACTAGACTATAGACTAGACTATAGACTAGACTATAGACTAGACTATAGACTAGACTATAGACTAGACTATAGATGTTTTGAGATACTTCAAAAATAAATTATACGGCAGCTTTCCAAACTATATTTCGGTTGACTTAAATGACGTATGAAAATGATATAAAAATATTCACGATTAAATAAATAAATAAATAAATATTTTAATCATGACTGGATTGACTTTAAACAATAATAAATAGATTTTTCACTCTCTAGGTATTTTTGTTTAGGCTTTATCATATTTAACTCACGACGAAAAGTATTATCAATATAATTTATATTTTCGTTAAAAAAAAAACCAATGAGCAATCTGAACAATCTACCTTAATCCTCGATAATTGCTCATAATACAAAGTTCTAAAGTATTAGAAGTAAGGGTCTTATCATTAAAATTTAATATTTTTTTTAGAGACAATTTGTAGTCATAATAAATTTTTGTACAAATTCTGGAAATTTAATTTGATGTTGTCATACTTAAATGAAAGATTAAATTATATGTTTGATTTGATAACAAAAGAACAGGGTTTTATGGTTGATGTATAGCGTCGTCGTTTTATGTACATTGTTGAGGTTTGTGTTTTCATCATTTATTATGTTTATATATAATTTGTCAAAAATATACCATGAAAAAAAAAAAATGTAAATAACTTTTACCACTTCAATGTTAAATTAAATAAAAGTAAGACAAATAAACAAATTTTTAAATTAAAAAAACAGTCAGGAAAAAAATAACAACAAAACATTATTGTTATTAATGATATCACCATATAAAAATACTTAAATTTGTTTTCTTTTCTTTTTCTCATATTTTAACTCTTTGTCTTGCTTGCAATTCACCATAGAAGTGTGATAATTCGTTATTGTGAAAAGCAACACATTCCTAAAATAATAACAATATTTGCAAGTCAATAAGAAGGAAATACTGGTAGCCCTGCTAATAGCTTCTGAAAATAATTAACAAAAACGATATTTAGATTAAATTCCATTACTTTTATTAATTTCTCTTCCTCATATTGTCTCTTTAAAGTGGCAGCAATCTGAAGACGCTGGTCGTAAAAAAGAGATACGTTCGCAATTGTACAAGTTACGTGAAACGCGTTTAAGAGATCTATATCAAGGCGATATAATGGCTGATAATAGCGGTTTTGGTAAAGATCCTTTGGCCACCAGTCATGGTGATGCTTTGGCCGATCAAAGTTTCCAGAGTTTGAAATCGAAGGAAATAAGAGATTCTTTGTCGCCCACTGAAATGAAATTTCAATCGATGGCTCTAAATAATCCCAATACCACGGGCTGGAATGTACAGTCCTCGAAGGAAGTAAGTCCTGATGGTAGAGGTTTTAGAGCTGAAACTGTTGCCACCACTGATGGTAAGTATTTCAATGTCCAATGTCTCAAACATTAAACAATATATAATTTCCTTTACCCTCAACTAGGTGTGGAAAGCATTAACGGTGGCATAGCCGAGTTTAAGGGACGTAATGAACAACGTTCCAGTGCTCATCATCAGGGTGACGATAAGAATTTCGTTAAGAAGGCCATGGAAAGTTCCAATTCTCATTTGCAAGAGAAAGTGGTTATTGGTGATGAAAATTCGGGACGCACGGAAGTGCGTACCAGTTCTTCCAAATCCACTTCTTCTTCTCAGGTTTTCCAATCCTCCTCAAATGTGGAATATGATGATGGTTTTCCCGGACATCAAGCTCAACCGCAAAAATATCTAATGGACTCCAATCGCCCTTATCAACACGATGTCCAACAGCAGCATCAGCTAGAACAACAACGTTTGCTCGAAGAACAACGCCGTTATGAGCAACAATTCCAACAGCAACGTCAACAGCATGTAAATCAGCAAGAACGTCGTACTACCGAACAATTGTCGACTACACGTCAGAATACCGAACAGAAAAACACTTCGCAAAATGTTCAAACTCAAGAGACGCACGAACAGAATAAACGTTATGTTGACATGGATAAAGCCTCACCCGAATACCAACAACATGTGCAATATCTTATGCAACAGCCTGGTGAAATCATCTCGAATACTGTGGAATATCCCAAACCAAATGTCAAGATGATCACCACGGTGAAACGTTTACCTGACGGTACTATCGTACGCAATAAACGTTACGAGACCGAAGAGTTGAATCCCACTACTCCCTCGACTCGCACTACATCGACTGCAACAAATCAAACCCAACCAAGACGTGATAGCCAACAGCAACCTTCACGCAATTATCAACCGGATTTGGCACCCCATTCCCGACCCAGTCAGGATATGGTGGATAGTAGCAATACCTCACGCTATGTCCAAGACACTCATACAGATGATGTGGAAACGAAATTTTCCTCCATCAAAAAGTCCAGTCATAAATTCAACACTGAAAGTACTTCGGAAACCATACAAGAATTTGATGATCGTTATCCTCAGGGGGGTGAACCCTCAAATCGTCCAAAACCTGTAACTAATGACTTCAGTACTCATGGTTTTCCTTCGGTTAGATCCAATAAGCCTACACAGGAATATCCTAATGAACGCCCTCATACTGAGCGTCCTACACAAGGTTATCCCTCCCAAGGAGCTCCTGCAAAGCTAACTGATGCCATGGTACCCCATTATCCCGATGCCACTGATAACATTACGGAGCGACGTGTGCCCACTAAAGATGGTGAAGTGATTATTGTTAGCTCTGAAAAGAAACGTAACTACAAAACGTCCAGCAACTCCGAACGTATAGTGGAAACCGAACATGTTATACGTGATGATCAACAATATCAACAGATACCCGACAAGAGTCAGGACTATACAACTCATGGCTTTCCCTCGGCCAGAGAACCAGCCGGCCAGCAGCCAAAAAACTATCCCAGTGATAGACAAATGCAACCTCATGAACAGGATTTTCCCTTGGATAAATTTTCACCCGGCCCTCGAATAATAAAACACCGTTCATCACCCCATGGTGATGACGATGTGGTAGTGGTGAGTTCCCAAAAGTCTCGCACCGCCAAGCATAGCACCAACACTGAACGTGTTATAGAGCATGAGATAATCAGAGATGACCAGCCAGTGGGTTATCCACGCATACAACCCAATGCGGATAATAGTCCTTACAACTATACAGTGACCACACCAGGTACTCCTCAGCCCGAATTTCCAGGTACTCCTAGAAAGCCTAACAATGGGGATTACTCCACTCAAGGATTTCCTTCGGTAAGAACACCGGGACAAGCTGCTCCTGGCGATCATGAACCTTATGGTGATTATCCAGCGGGAACTCCAAAAACTCCAAGTAAAGATTATTCTACACAAGGATTTCCATCCGTGAAATCGCCCAGTAGACCAGCTGCAGGTTTACCCTCAAATCACAATCAACACCCTGGCCTATCGAGAGGATCACCAAGTCACGAACATCCTACCCAGGGATTTCCTTCGGTAAGAACACCTACAAAAGGTACACCAACTCAGGGTTATCCCTCTAATGTAGATGCTGGTAGACCTAATGGAACTGTTGAACAACCAAGAGCAACACCAACTTCCAAAACACAACCTAGGACGCCTTCGCCCAATAAATATAAAACCCCCACTAGCACTGTACGCGAAACCACTGAACGTGTTATAAGAAAAGAGAAAGAGGTAGATTCAGCTCATCGCGCCTTTGCTGCTTCTTTGCGCAGCTCTTCACCCATTGACCATGTTAGAAGGGACAGTTATACAACCGATTCTCATACCAGACATACACCACGTTCCAGTGTTTCTTCCACTAGAACTTTTAAACGTGATATGCGCGAAGGTTCTCATGACAGTGCACCCTCGGAAACGAGCCGCATTAGCACTACCACCATAACACGCAACACTCCACCACGTACGGTAGGCGGTAGGACCGTAGTAACCAAAGTGGTTACCACCAAAACAAATCAGGGTTCCAATGACACACTCAATGTGACTTCGCCACGTGCCACCAAGTCTCCCTCACCCGGTAAGACCGTTACCACCACCACAACCACTAGGACTATGACTTCGAAAGATGTGCCAAAAGTCACAGGTACGCATACAATTTCTAAGCAAATGTAAAATTAAAAAAAAAGTGGAAACTATATAGGTTCTCCAGATAACCAGCATACTCGTATTACTACTACTACCAACAATATCGATACTATATTTCCTATTAACGAAACAACACCACCACCTCCACTAACTACTACTATCACAAAAATCAAGTTTTCCGATAATCTTAAGCAACCACACAAACCAAAAACCAATATCGATAAAAAGAATAAACCAGTGCTAAGAGCTACCACTCCCTCAACCGCTTCTGTTGGTGTGTTGGAAGAAGTCATAGAACCGCCTTGCATTAAAAAACATTATTATTTGCTTGGTCCGTCCGATCAACTACAAGCGCAATCACAAACAAAAACCTCAACGTCCCAAACATTTAAAAATCCCCCGATTTCTGGTAAGACAAGAAGTTTACTCCTTAAACCACGACCCACTAGAAACTAAATAATAGTTTTTTGGCTCCCTTCTCACTTCACCACACTACACCGGGGGAGAGTAACCTATAGTTTTGAATTGCTTGGTTAAAGATAATTGCACCATCTGCTAATCCTAAGAATGGAATCTAAAAACTTGATAAACATACACCAACACTCTCATAATAATAACTATCTATCTCTTTGTATCTCTCTCTCTATATCTCTATCACAAACTTTTTTTATGAAATGCCTCAAAAAGCCTTGGATATTTTAAGAATCTCTCTCTCTATTGTATAACTATTCTATATACTTTATATAAAAATAAATTATGTAAAATGATCCTGGAACCTATTTCTATTTTTAAATTACGCATTAAGCATGGTGGCATGATGACATTAAATCCTTAAAAAATTATTAAATTTACTAAAAATGTTTTGTATATTTATACTTATTAAGTTCTAAACTAACTTCACCTATTGTAGTGTGTACTTAATTAATCTGAGAAAAATATTTATGTAAATGTATTTAATTAAAAATTTTATAAAATTATAATTAATTGTTCTGAGTAAATAACACAAATAAAAAATAACCCATAAAAAAAAACAAAAATCTATTGTAGTTGTAATTCTTTATTCATTTGCTATTTCGACTAATGAACGATTAACCAAAATAGTTTAGCTCAACGAGCGAGTAAAATTAAAATTTTATTCGATTGTTGAATATTAAAAAAAAAACATAAACTAGTATAAAATAGTAATATTAATAGAGTGGTGGCGAATTGTAATTGTGTGATTAAATTGTGTTCAACAGAAAAATCACCAACAAAAAAACCACAACCACCAGCACCCCGTAGTAGAAGTAGTACACCTTCATACAATAGTAGAAAACCACCAACATCTGTGATGACGGATGATTATGATGATGCTGATATATTAAAGACAACATCACCATTATCACCATCATCCAGATCTAGAACACCCCAAAAAATTGGCCCTAATGATAATGACAAACCACAAGATGATTGGCAAACGCCCTCTCAGCCTGATAACGATGAGCGTAGAACTGTGAATAGAGAAACAACATTTGAAAAGGATGACCGTGTGCCTCAACAACCACGTAAACCTAACTATGAACAGCCCAATGTTGAATGGGTTATAGTTGATGATGTCGACGACTATGATAACGATGATGACGATAATGATAGTTTTGCTCCCGAAGTAGTTGATTCTAAATTGAATGTTAAGAAAACCACTACAAAATTAATAACACAAGAAAAACAAGTTCCCTTAGCTCCGCAAAGGAAACCAAAATCCACCACCACCACGACTGTTATTACCAAACAATCACATACTCTGCCATCGAAAACTCAAACTAAACCAAACGACAGAACTCCTTTAAAAACCAAACCACTGGATTCGAGAACTCCTCAACCAGCAAGACCTCAAAAACCTTTAACAGATTCCAAAAGTCCAGCCACCAGAACTCCCTTAAAAACTCAACCCAAAGTTGTGGATAATAAACAAATAACAAAAGCCCCCAAATCTTCAGTGCCCTCATATACTTCACCTCTTAGAAGGCCTGTGCCCAAGACCACTACTGAAGAAACAACATTAAGAAAGAATCTGAAAACTTCACAGGTAATAATGGAGAAAACGAACACACTTATAGAGGCGGAAAAGCTTAAACGTAAACCTCAAAGTCCAGAGCGTAAACCAAAATCACAGACACCGGGTTATAAAATAACAGTTACAGAGGTTACACAAAAACGTAGCGCACCGGGTAGAAAACCACAGGATACTGATGAAGAACCCATTCAAAGTAAACCCTATGAAACTGATGATGAACCTATTTCAGGCAGACCCAGCTATAGAAAACCTCAAGGTAATGATAATGAACCTGGTTATATAAGACCTTCGGATACTGATGATGAACCTCATCAAGGTTCACCAGATTATGGGAAGCCTTATGGTATCGAGGAAGAGCCAAATCAATATATTCCAGGTTATGGAAAGCCCCAGCAAACTGGTGAAGAACCTGTACAAAAACCTCCTGGTTTCAGAAAGCCTCATGATGGTGTTAATGAACCTAGTGCTCCAGTTTACGATGAACCTATATATGACACTCCTGCCACTGGAGATGAACCAAATCAAGCAACTCCTGGTTTCAGAAAGCCTCAAAATATTAACGAAGAACCAAATCAACCTACAGCTGGCTATAGAAAGCCTCAAGAACCTGGTGATAAGCCAAACCAAGAGTTCCCATCTTTTAGAAAACCTCAGGATACTGTAGAAGAACCTAAGAAAGGTTTTCCAGCTGTAAGAAAAGCTCCATCACCTGGTTTCAAACGGCTACAAGATACATTTGATGAACGATCTCCAGATTACAAAAAACCAGTAAATTTTGATGATGAACCCAATCAAGATTCGCCTAGTTTCGGAAAGCCTCAAGGCCCTAAAGATGAACCACGTTATCGTGTTCCTGGCTATACAAAGCCCCAAGGTGATGATGACGAACCCAATAGACCTGGTTACGAAAAATCTCAACGAATTATGGAAGAACAAATTACTATAACAGAAACTTCGGAAGAAAGATATCCAGAAGGGGAAGCACCCAAACGTCCAGATAACAAACAAAATCAATATAATCCCGATTTTTATAAACCTAGAGATACTAACGAATTCCCTCAGCAAGGTAAACCATTTAATAGGAAACCTCAAGATGGTGATTATGAACCTGGCAAACGTACTCCTTATGATAGCGATGAACAACCTAATCGAGGTACAAGAAAGCCTCAAGATACAGATGACGAACCAAGTCAATTAACTCCTGGCCATAGAAAACCTAATGACCAAGAGCCTAATCAAAATTATCCCGGCTTTAGACAGCCTCTATATAAAGACGATGAACCAAATCAAGGTATTCCTACTTTAAGAAAGCCTTTGGAAACTGATACTGAACCTAAGGAAGGTTTGCCACATTACTTGACTCCTCAACAGGTTACCCAAGAGGAAATAATTATTACAGAAACATCTCAAAAAACATATCCTGGTAAAGAAACTCCTCAAAGACCTGTGAGTAAACCAGGACAACCTGGATCTAGAAAACCTTATGACTTGGATGATGAACCTCATACACCTGGTTATGTAAAGCCAGCTGAAGAACCAGGCTACAGAAAACAACCGCAGAAACCAGAAACTAAACCAAAATATTCTAGACCAGGCGATAAGCCTTTAGAAACTGATGACGATGAATGTATAACGGAAAGTATTACAACTTCTCAGAGAACCGTGGCCAAACATATACAGAAATTTGAAACAAATTTGAATAAAAAGTCACCTAAACCACAAACTAGAACTAAATCTCCTACAAAAAAAGAATTACCACAAACTCCGAAAAAGACAACTAAAACACCGCTTAAAGAAACTTCGCCTACACGACCAGACACCAAACCTACAGTGGGAAAACCTCGTTCAGATAAACCTTTTGAAACCGATGAAGATGAAACATTTGTAGAGACTAGTGAGTTTCACATAAACACTACCCAGAAACGAATTGTTTCTGAAAGACAAATTGTGGAAGAAGAAACCACATATCCTGGAAAACAGCCTCAGAAACCAACAAGAGAAGTTTCTCCTACAGGAAGTCAAAGGAAACCAGGTCACAAAATCTTGGAAGAGCCTGAAGATAAACATCCTAAAACTCCTAAACATGTTTCGCCCACAAGAACACCACAGAAACCTAATGATAAAAGTTTCCAAACTTCTTTAAAAACCAAACAAGTCGTAACGGAGACAACATTGCAACAAATTGCTGATGAGTATCCTGATCAAAAGACCCCAAGAGGAATTTCACCAACACGAAACTTAAAGAAACCTGAGGAACCCTCTAGTAAGAGACCATTATCTCCAAATAAAAATGTTTCCCCCACTCGTTTGCAAAAACAACCAGAACCAAAATCTCCAACAAAACCAACAGATGGAAGACCTAAGTCTCCAAGCAAACATCTTTCTCCTACAAGATCACAAAAGAAACCACTTGAAAAAACTCCCTTAGATGATGATCGCTACACAACTACTTTGCAAACAACAAAAATTGTAAGAGAAATAATAACTAAAGAAGTAGAGGATGATGAGGAATATCCAGAGGAAACGCCTAAAGATGATAAGCCAAGAGATACAGAAGACGATGAAACCTTCATAGAAACTTCTGAATATATTACAAACTCTACACAAAAACGTGTTGTAAGTGAAAAGCAAATCTCTACAACAGAAGAATCATTACATCCTGGTAGAAGGGCTCCTCAAATTCCAGCACAAAAGAAACCTGGTCAAAAGTTACCCGAAGAACCTTCTAAGAGAAGAACACCATCTCCTACCAAACCAATTTCTCCTACACGTACACAAAAGAAGCCACATCAAACGATTCCCGTTGATGATCGAACATTTAGAAAAACTTTGCGTACTACGGAAACGGTAACCGAATATCCATCTAAGAAAGGTGACAAGCCAGAGAAAACTAAACCAAAAGAAGGAAAACCATATCCAGACCAACCTTCAGACACTGAGGAAGATGAAACTGTTACTGAAACTAGTGAGTTTGTAACCAAGTCCACAAATAAACGTATAGTTACCCAGCAACATATTCAAGAGTTTGAAGAGCCCCAATACCCTGACAACAAATCGCCTACAAGAGTATCTAAATCACCAACAAGAGGAGTTTCTCCCACTCGTAAACAACCTGGTCAACAACAACCAGAAGAGAAATTTAAAGAACCCACTTTTAGAAGGCCTCAATCTCCAAATAAACATGTTTCTCCTACAAGAACTCAGAAGAAACCAACCGAAAAGACACCTCTGGATGACGAAGAAACTTTTACAACCTCTTATACAACAACAAAAATAGTAAAAGATAAGGAATATCCGGAAGAGAAATTCCCCTCTAAGAAAGGTGACAAGCCAGAGAAAACCAAACCTAAAGCGGGTAAATCACATCCAGACCAGCCTTCTGACACTGAGGAAGATGTACTTGTCACTGAAACAAGTGAGTTTGTCACTAAGTCCACAAATAAACGTGTAGTTACCGAACAACATATTCAAGAGTTGGAAGAATATCCTGACAACAAATCGCCTAAATATCCTAAAAGAGTTTCGCAGTCTCCAACTAGAGGAGTTTCTCCCACTCGCCAGCAGCCTGGTAAGCAACAGCCAGAACCCACAGGTAGAAGACCTCAATCTCCTAGTAAACCTGTTTCTTCTACCAGAACTCAAAAGAAACCAATTGAAAAAACACCTGAGGATGATGATGAAACCTTTACGACCTCGCTTACAACCACAAAAATTGTAAAGGAATATTCACCTAAAGGTCTTAAACCTCATTCGGATAGACCTATAGATGAAGACGAAACATTTGTGGAAACCAGTGAATATGTTATTAAATCTAACCAAAAACGTGTTATTAATGAGAAACAAATTTTGGAAATTGAAGAGTCATCATACCCAGATAAAAAGTCACCTAAACAAAAACCTGAAAAGGATAGTAAATCTCCAACTAGAGGAGTTTCTCCTACACGTACTCCGAAGCGTCCTAGCCAAAAGTTGCCCGAAGAACCTACTGGCAAAAGACCCTCATCACCCACTAAACCAGTCTCACCAACACGTAATCAAAGGAAACCTATTGATGACACTAAACCTAAAGATAAACCTTTAGATACCGAGGAAGATGAAACATTCACAAAGACCAGCGAACGTTTAATTAGCTCCAAGACACATATGGTAGGAGAAAAAATAACATTTGAATTTGAAAAACCTAAATCACCAACTAGAGGTGTTTCTCCAACACGCACTCAAAAGATACCGGGACAACAACTACCAGAAGAACCCGACTTCAGGGAGCCTACTGGTAAAAAACCACAATCTCCTACGCGAACTCAAAAGAAACCAGGTCAGCAAACACCAGAAGAACCCAGTGGTAAACAGCCTCAATCTCCTACACGTACTACAAAGAAACCTATTGATAAGGACGACTCTTTCAAAACAACTTTAAGAACAACAAAAACTGTTACTGAACAGACAACAAAGTATGTTGATGATGAAGAATATCCAGATGAAGAAACTCCATATAAAAAAGGAGATAAACCTAAAGAACGTAAACCTTACTCTGATAAACCATCTGATACCGATGAAGATGAAACAATTACAGAGACAAGTGAACATTTCATAAGCTCGAAAACTTGCAAGGTAACTGAAAATGTAGTAGAGGAATTTGAAGAACCAGAATCACCAACCAGAGGTGATTCACCCACACGTACCCAAAAGAAGCCAGGACAAAAAATGCCAGAAGAATACTCTAGTAAAAGACCTCAATCTCCTACACGTACTCAGAAGAAACCTGGACAACAAACACCCTTAGAACCTACTGGTAAAAGGCCCCAATCTCCTACACGATCGCAAAAGAAACCAGGGCAACAAACACCCGAAGAACCTACTGGTAAAAGGCCACAATCTCCTACACGTTCCCAAAAGAAACCCACTGATAATGACGACATATTCAAAACCACTTTAAAAACTACAAAAACTGTAACAACTAAGTATGTTGATGATGAAGAATATCCAGACAATCAAACTCCCTACAGGAAAGGTGATAAACCAGATACCAAACCTAAAGAACGTAAACCTTACTCTGACAAACCTTCTGATACAGATGAAGATGAAACAATCACAGAGACAAGTGAACGTTTTATAAGCTCGAAAACTTGCAAAGTAACTGAAAGTTTAATAAAGGACTTCGAAGAGCAGAAATCACCAACAAGAGGAGTTTCACCCACACGTACTCAACAGAAACCAGGTCAAAAACAACCAGAGGAACTAGATTTCAAGGAAACCACTGTCAAAAGACCTCAATCACCTACGCGTACTCAAAAGAAGCCTGATCAAACAACTCCTAAAGAACCAACTGACAAAAGACCACAATCTCCTACACGAACTCAAAAGAAACCAACTAAAGAGGATGAAACCTTTACATCGACTTTGAGAACTACAAAAACTGTAACAGAGAAAACAACGAAATATGTCGATGATGAGGAAAATCCAGAGGAAATAAAACCAAAACAAGGTAAACCCTATTCGGATAAACCTTCTGAAACAGACGAAGAAGAAATCTATACAGAGACAATTAGATCAACAACCTCCAAAGTAACTGAGGAAACAATGCCAGAATTTGATAGGCCAAAATCCCCAACAAGAGGTGTTTCTCCCACACAAAAAAGACCAGGTCAAAAATTCCCTCAAGAAGCTGAATTAAAGGAACCTACTGGTAAAAGACCACAATCACCCACACGTAAACAAAAGTTGCCATATCAAACAATGCCTGAGAATGAGCAAACTTTCACAGAAACTTTAAGAACCACAAAAATTACAAAGGAAAATGTAACAAAAACTTTTGAAGACGAAGAATTTCCCAAACAGGAAAAGCCTAGACAACCAGGTTTTGTAGAACCTATAGAGAAACGTCCTAAATCTCCTAAAAAGGATTTATCGCCTTCAAGGCATGGAGTCATATATGATGATGATCAGGCATTTACAAAAACTGTAAGAACTACTAAAACTGTTACAGAAAAAACCACTGAAGATACTCCTCATGGAGATGAACCAAGACAAGCTAAACCTAAATCCTACAAACCTACAGAAACCGATGGAGATAAAGAAAAAGAAACATTTATGCAGACTACGGAGTTTGTTATTAAAACAACGCAAAAACCTAAGTACCCAGAGGAACCAAGGGAAGGTTTTGAGAAACCAAGAGATCAACGTTTCATACACACCAGTGATTTTATACGTGGTGAAAAACAAACTTTAGAAACGGAAAAGGAGCTTTTATATTCCAAGAAACCAAAAGGTTCACCGTCATCACCAACTAAGGAACGTAGTCCTAGTCCTAAAGGCCCTAAAGATGGTACAAGAACGGTAAAGCCAAAAGATCGCAAAGATTCACCAAAACGTAGTCCAAGTCCAAAAGGTCCCAAATCTACACCTGTAGATGATGAGACTTTTAGAAAAACTTTGAGAACCACTGAAATAGTTACCGATAAAACTACAAAAACTAAGGATGGTAAAATAAAACCAAAAGATCGTAAACCTGGCCAAGTTAAGCCCACAGATACGGACGACGAAGAAACACCTTCAGAAACAGAGGAGTTTTTGATTGAAACCTGTGAAACACATTATGTTACGGAAAAAAATGTTACCTCAGAAAACGAAGATCAAATATTGTCCACTACTTTGGTTAAATCCAAGCCACAAAAACCACAGGAGAAAGAACCTGGAAAACCGGTTAACAAACCCTTCACTTCCACTTATGTAGAAACTGTTGAAACTATTGAAGGTCAAACTTATCCCGAAGATATGGAACAGAAGCCATATACAGCTCCCCTAGAACCCTGGCTAACTAAAGAAGTTCCCAAACGCCCCACCAAGGTCACTGAACAATTTATTGAAACAGAACGTTTACGCAAGGAAACACCAGATGGAGCATTTATTTCAAAAACCACTGAACCTACATCACCAACAACACCTACCTTTAAGAAAAAGGGTGCCGGACGAAGTGATACTTTTGAAGAGCGATGTCGTCAAATTTTAGGCATGGATACTTATGGTGATACACCGGGAACTTTCAAAAAACAACCCGATACGGAAATTGAGAAGGAAAAGACGAAAGAGTTTAAAACAAAGGAGGAGGAAGATTTAAAGACCTCAGCCGTATTTCAGGTTAAAATTGAAGATTGTGATGAAGATGATGAACCTTTGTCTATAAGTAGTGTCAAGAAAACTTTACACAAACAGATTCATACAAAGGAACAAAAGGAGCCTTTGAAAGAGGAACCCAAGTCTACTAAACCATCCAAAGAAGAACCACAATCTACTAAAAAACCTGTTAAAGAACCTAAATACCCTAAAGATGATGAAAATGAATTTGTAGAAACTATTACAGAAACTACAACAACGATGCATAAGAAAACTCCCAAAACTAAATCTATTGATGAAACTGAGCCCGATTCGTCAGAACCCGAAATTGTGGAAGAAGAACAGTTTATGGTTATAAATAAAGAAACCAAAAAATCGGAGGTCAAAATAACTAAAAAATCCTCCCCCTCAACCTCACCACGTTCAGTTTCACCCACTAAGAGTGTAGCTACTCCTCGCTCTGCCTCACCTACTAAGCCAAAATCTTCACCTCGAAATGAATCACCTTTAAAGGAAACACCAAAACGTAAACCCAGTAAAGAGACACTGGAACCTAAAACAAATAAAAAATCTCCACAAAAACCTGACAATGATACTAGCACCACCATTAAGGAACGTTTAAGATCCTCGACACGCAAAACCAAGTCACCGGGCAAACAAGATCAAGTAGATGGCTCGGACTCATCGCCCGAGCACAGTCCTACTCGCCACACTGAACGCAGAAGATCTAGCAATATTTCCGTTACTACGGAAATAATTATTGAACATACTGATTCGGATACACCCAATAAAAAGGAAAAATCTCCAGTTCCTAAGAAGACAAAAGATTCTGTGTTCAAGGAAATTATAGATTCCACCGTATTGCCCGAAAAGTTAACACGACGTATGCCAGTAACGGAACGCAAAGAATCTGCTCCTGTCCATAGAGTTACTAGCAGGGATAAGGATTCAAAAATGTCACGCTCTACTAGCGAAAACTTGATTAAGGTTAAGAAACCCGAACCACAATCTCTTTCACCAAAAACGACACCTAAAACCACGGATCACCGCAGACCCAATAAATGTTTTGCCACCAAGAGCATCAATTTAAGTGCCACTGATCGTTTGGTTAATAGTGAGGATATGGAAAATGTTATCATTGATATACAACATGCTAAGAGTTCACGTGAGCCTTCACCGGATAAAATTGTACCCACTCCTGTACCAGCTCATTTGGATACTGGCAAGCCTAGATATCCCGATGTAGTGCAAGAACCAGAGGATGATCAACCACGCAGAAAACCACAAGTTAAGAATATTCCCATATTTGAAGAGGAAAGTAATGCTTATGTAGGCTGTCATATTACCGAAGTAGAGAGAACCCATAAAACTACTTATGATTCTTTGGATTATGAAGAACAAATCTTAAATAATCCAGTAGTGGAGGCACCTCCCAGTTTGGATTATCCTAGCTTAGATAAACCAACTTATGATGAAAGTTTGTTAACAGTACATGAAAAAGTTTCCAAATTTCAAAACATAGCCGAAGAGGTAAGCAAACCTAAGGCCTCTGAACCATTCCAAAGGGAATTTGATGATAGCCACCCAGTACCCCAAGATGATGAATGTCTTTTGACCATCAATGAAAAAGTAGAAAAATTTGTTAAAACTTCGGAAACCAAGATTAAATCTGCATATGATTTAGACGATGAGGATGAAGAATTTGCCAGAAATGAACATATTTATACTACCGTCAAATTGGCTCCTACAGCTCCTCAAAAGTCACCCGAGCTAGTACGTACCATATCAAGACATATTTCTCGACAAACTGAGCCCGAATCCGAAGAACAGCCTGAAAATGTTTATCCCTCAACAAGCCGTAATGATGATTTCGTGGAATGTTTGGTAAATAACAAAAAAATAACTAAGGAATTTGAGGTGAGTCATCATCAACAACAGCAGCAACAGCAAAAAACAATTGAAACAACATTAAAAACAGCTGAAAAATACCAACAACCTAAAGACCATGATGACGATCATGACGACGACGATGAGTTAATACCTCATACTGCAACACATACAACCATGATCGAAGAGCGTCGTCAGAAAGACATTTTGAGCAGACCATCGGTATTCGATAGCAAAAACAAAAAACCCATTACTACAACAACGACATCGAAAACTCCATTAAAGTGCAACAAGTCACCCGTTAAAGATTCAGAGAAATTACGGCCAGACAACAAGTCACGCACAAAGCCAACGTCCGCTGTTACCAATACATTAACAGAAACAACGACCACGATAACAACAACAACAGCCAACAAACAACCAAAACAATCGCCTCAACGTAAAAACTCTGACATTGATTACGAATTGCGCGGTAGTGACGTTGAAACGGGAGTAAAAAACATTATCACAAAACAAACAAAGGTTTACAACAGCAGCGGCAGCAGCACAAAAACTAATGACTTGAAAAAACAACCAACTACGACGACGACGAGTAATAAAAAACCAGAGAAGAAACACATGCCAGTACGCTTAACACCAGCAAAGAATACAGACGAATATGATTTGAGTGCGGACGACGACGACCATGAAATGATCATTACCTGTGATGAAACAACAAATATTGACTTTGAAACTCAGGTAGTAAACGAAGATTTAACTCAAGCAACAAGCAGAAAAATTCCTTTAACAACCCCGCACAAAAAACAACCAACATCACACAGTTCTACCAACTCATCGCCAACAGATCAGACACTGAAACCGAAAACAAAAGAGCACGTAGAAAAATTAACCGAAAGAAATCCATTAAAACCTAACACTGTCACTACCACCAGTATTAAAACATACGAACTTGTGGAAAGGGCTGATGATATTGATGAAACTGTTCTAGAGCCAACACAACAAAAGAAACCTTCTTCATCGCCTCAGCCTAGTAAAACTACTAAAATGTCTACAACTACCACGGATTCGGTGGCTGCTAGAAGAAGCTTATTTGAGAGCAACCATAGCAGCCCTTCTTCAACTCCTACCAAACGCACACCCTTGACCAGTCCCATGAGCGGCCGTAGACCTTCTTATATGGATCATACAAAAAGTTCTTTGGAGCACACCAGACGTGATTCTTTGGAAATAAATAAAACTAATTATTCACGCAAACCTTCACACCCCGAAGAGGAAGGTGTAGATCGTAATTCTTTGGTGAAATTTGATGTGCCTCAGGGCAGACGTGCTACCACACCAAGAGCTACTTCTGTGAGCGAAGATATTAATGTAGAGGAAATTTTTGATTTAGAGGTTTTGGAAAGATTATTGGAAACGGTGCAGTCTTATGAAATCAGACGTAGAATTAGGGCGCAAATAAGATTGATTAAGAAAAATCAAAAGAATGAATTGATTAGCAGTACCACAGAAGTAACCACAAAGACCATTAAGACTAGCACGAAAGGCAGTGAAGAACCGGATACTGTAACAACTACGAACAAGAAAACTAAGCCTGAAACGAAAACTACAACACAAACTGTAAGTAAAGATGCTGCTAGTCATATAAGCAGCAGCAAAAAGGAATATATATTCGAGGAGCCTTATATGCCAACCACACGAAGATCTCCTAAGCCCAATCGTTACCCATATGAAACGGAAAAGGAGTCCTTGCATAAGCCAACACGCAGTCAAAGTCCTCAACCTGCCGTGTGCCGTAGAAATGCTGAACATGAACGTCAATATGAACGCAGTCATCACAGTCCCGAACATAGCCAACACATCGAAGTGGTAAGAGAGTATGGTTCACGAACCACCAAACAACAATATTACTATAAGGATGAAGAGGAGCTAGAGCAAGTGAAAGAGATTAGACATGAAACTTCACCAAGCCGTAAATCTCCTTCACCCACTAGAAAACCACATTCCATACACTCATCGCCCGAAAGACGTAATGCTAGTCCAGAATCTCATAAACCCTTAAAAACAAACGAACGTAGTCGTAGTCCTCAAACTAAGGCTCCCCAATCGACTCGAGTAACTAGCAGTCATAGTCCCGATAGTAAAACTTCATTATCCACCACGGTGCGCAAATCTTCAGCCACTTATGAGCAACAGGAGACAATGAAAACTTCTAGCACTAAACCACAAACGAAACGTATAACCACAACGACTACTACAATAACGAAATCTAAACCAGAAAATAAGACACCCGTTTGGGCAGATCGTAAAAATATACTAAAGGCTCCCAGCAGCAACACCCCAACACCCAAAAAACCCAGCAACTCTACCCTAGACTCTAGAGCGGGTTACACGAAAACCATTAAATCTACCACCAGTCAAAAAATGTCCAGCAATAAATCATCCTTTGTGGAAGATGATTGTGTCACCTCTAGTTATGGCATAGGACCAACCGATGAAAATGGTTTGCCACTCTTTGGCATCAGGGCTTTGAAAAAGAAAAAGCCCACCGTGGAACCCAGTGAAACAACAGAAGGTAAGAGGAAATCAAGAATGTTAATTTTAATACCACTAATTTTCAATATCTTAATAGTCACCGGTTATGTTGTCGAAGAGAAATACTATTCGGATAATAAAACAAAACCCAGTGTAGAGCGTAAGGAATTTATTTACTCTACAAGTCCCGAAGAATTGCAAAAACTTAAGGATCAAGTGGAAGTTTCTACCAATAGAAAAGCTCTAAAAGATGTAGAGCTCAAGGAGTCAAGACAAACAGCTTTGATTGTTAGTATTAAAGTTTTGTTTTTTAGTATAATTATTAATTTTCTATTTGCTTGTATTCCACAGTCCAAAGGTTTACCCGCTTTAAGATCTAGTCCTGAAGATGATTTTCTAGATTCTACTAGCAAATACGTGCGTCGTGGTTCGGTTAAAGAAATGAGTGAAAAATTCATACAGCGAGAGGCTTCCTCAACTGTAACGGAAAAATCAAATAATTATCCCAAGGCTGGTTTAATTTTGAGAACTAATTCACGTAAAAATAGCCGAGATGCGGAAAATGAAAGTGATAATTTTGGTAAGTTTTTTAGGGAGAGTTACTAAAACGATTTTGAGGTCCTGATTAAAGTAACTTATCTTCCAGAATCTTACAAAACTACACGAATACAACAACATACCAGCTCTGTATTGGCCGATTCAGATGATGCCGAACACGAATATGAAGTCGAGGAAGTTGCTAGTCGCCACTCAGGTCGTTTTATAACCGAAAGCGAAAGTGAATGTGATTCGATAAAGACTCAAAGGGAATTTAAAAAAGTAACCTCCTCTTCCTCGTCTTCAATGGCCACGCGTTCCTTCCTCAATACACAGGGTGAGGAAAAAGTCATAACAAATGTTTCCGATTGTTTGGAACGCATGCGTAATGCTGATAATGGTAAGAATTTTAAAATTTTTAAATAAAAACTATAAATTATTTGTAAATTACAAATGATTCATTTCCGTTTTTGTGTTTCTTTAGTTGTTGAAGAGGGCGATACACCAGAGGATCAAGAGGCCAGAGCTTTATTGAATAAATTTTTGGGTGCTAGCATTATAATGAAAGGCGTTGAGTCATCATTACCGGCCGGTTCGAATCGTCAATCGAAAATTATAACGACAACAACGACCAGCAGCAATTTAAGTGATGATAATGATGGCGATAATAATGCAAAAAACGAGGTATTAAATTAAATTTAAGCAAAAGTATTATTACATACATACATACTTACTAATTACATACATACATAAATAGTTTTAAAAGGAAATGAGAATAATAAATATTATGCCATTTTGGATATTTGATATCAGTAATAATAATAATAAGTCATATATACAACTTACTTACATACGTCATGTATATCAAGAATTTTGTTTTTGTGGCCTGACTACTTTTTTATTTCGTTCTTAAAAGTAACCCAAAAAAATGGGACCACTCCGCACGCTCGAGTAAAGAGTTCTCCACAAAGGACTGGTCCAAAACTAATCCAAATATATGAAAAATAAATGTTCCATTTATTGTTACAATGTCCTAGGTGAGGACCACATAATACGCACATGGATTACACCTGAGTAATCCCAAAAATACTCCTTTCCTAAGATTAGGGGGGGTACATGATTCTCATCATGGTCCTATGTAAGGCAGACTATGGACCATGTTGTTTTCAAAGAGAATGAAATGGTCCATGACTGCATTACATAGGACTACTTAACGGATCTAATGCTCCAATAATATTTTTATGGGATCAGTTTTGGGATTATCTTAACGGATCATGTAGTCCAATAATTATAATTTTTGAGGGAAATTTTTCAGAATTATACTTTACAATTTGAAAATTTTACCCCTTAAGTATAATTACGTCATTACACGTCTTTTACTACACGTCTTTGTATAAAGAAATTTTCGATTTCTTCATTTCGTTAATTATGTAAAATTTCCCTCCGATTTTCTTACTCAATCGATCCGTAACATATTCCACATTGTCTAGGATTATTTCTTAAGGACAATCGTTGAGCGACTGGTATTCGGCTCGTTAGGTTAGATTGTTGATACTAGGATGTATCCACATCAAATCCGAAAAAATATACCTAGACCAATGTTGGGCCTGTTCACTGAATGTGTTATCGTCTGACGTTCAAAAAATCAGTTTCCTGGACGTAATTTCTAACAATTTTCCAGTCAGTGTTAGTGAGGGATGTTATATCAGGAATAACATCATTCCCAAGATCTTTCCATCTAATTTCGGCGAAAGCCTGACAACGGGGAAGAAAGTGCTCCAGAGTTTTACTGTCCTCTCTACATGCTATACATTCGTCTGAATCCGCACTTCCAATTTTTCATAGCTTTGCCTGTAATCCTATGTGTCCGCTGAGAATACGTATCATAATACTAAACTCAGACTTGCTCATTTTGAAGAGGTTTCTCATCCTACTCTCGTTAGGGTTACCCCATAGGATCCTTGTGGTTCTAACCACGGTTTCATTATTCCAAGAGGCCTTATCGGTTTAACTCACCCATATTTTTAATTCTGCCCTTGTTGAGTCAAATGGTTTTGCGTTCGTCAGATTAACTACTTCGAGCTCCCTTCTCTTTAGAGCGGCCAGGTACCCATATGATGTAAACCTCTGGGAGAGTATTCGGTTAGAGGTTATTTACGGTTAGTACGGTCTTAAATTTTACTTTATTATCTGGCTGCCTGTTAAGCCCTGTATGCGACATATTTATTTTAATCCAATTTACGCATTCCTTTATTGTTCATTCAGAAGCGAAGGTTTAAATTTCGGAACATTTCAATGTGTACCACCTTTATGCAATAACTATATATCATCATCTCTAGTTGTTTGTTCAGCTCAGACCAGAATTGCAATTGAAATGTTTTTGTTTTTAGATTGCCACAGTAGAAATCATGGGCAATACTGTTGAAATAATAACATTTTCGGATCTGGGAGTTTGAATTCAGAAAATTTCACTATAACTTGATCATGAAAAATCATTGATTTTTCGCTAAAAATTTAATTTTACGATCTTTTACTCGGCTTTTCTTTGCAAATCCATTTTTTTCTATAATTACAATCACTAAAATCGATTGTTCACTGTAAATTAGATTTTTCATTTAAAATCCGACTTTCCATTAAGAGCCTGATCTTTCGATTTCTCACTTAAAACTTGGCTTTTCATTAAATGTCATATTTTTCCCTAAAATACGATCTTCCACTATATATAAGATTTTTCATTAAAAATACGACTTTCCACTAAAAGTCTGATTTCGCATCGGCTTTTCATTAAATATCAAATTTTTACCCAAAAATCCGATTTTTTAATTTAAAAAAATAGGGTTTTCACTAAAACCCGACATTTCACTAAAATCCAACATTTCACTAAAAATATATAGAAATTCGGCCTTTCACTAAAAAATTAAACTTTTCACAAATGATTCGCATTTCACTAAAAGATTCATTTTTTAGTAAAACATTCACCCGACTTTTCTGCAATAATTCGACTTTTCTGACTTTGATGAAGTCATAAAAATTCGACTTTTCTCTTAAAATCTGATTTTTCACTAAAAATCTTGACTTTTCACTAAAAAATGCGATTTTTCTCTTAAGAATTGATATTTCACTAAAAATTTTGACTTTTCACTAAAACATCCGACATCGATCCTGCAATATTCAAATTTTTTCTTCTAACATTCGACTTTCACCAAAAGTTTAATTTTCACTAAAAATTCACCTTTTCACTAAAATTTCGATTTTTTGACTAAAAACCCGACATTTTACTAAAAATCTAATTTTTTCCACAAAAAAATCGGATTTTCACTAAAAATTGGATTTTTTTCTAAAAATTCGATTTTTTTTCTAAAAATTTAATTTTTTTCTAAAAAATCGATTTTCTTTTTTCTAAAAATTTATAAATTTTATAAACATTTCAAATTCAGTAAAAATTAATTAGTTAAATATACTTGAAATTTGCGCGTCTTTAGTAAGTTGGCCAAAGCCTTTGAAAAATGTTTTCAGGCTAAATAAAACAGCTGTTATATTTTAGTTTGTCATGCTACGTGTTATGCTGACGCTACAAAATAACAGCAACTAAAAAACACTAATTACAAAACATTTTCTGTTTTTCTATACACTGTCAGAAATAAAAAACATTAACAGAATAAAAATAATAACTAATGGATTGTCAAAATGTTTTTAAAATAAATTTTATAAAAAATTTGAATCCTTTTCGTAATATTAACTTTTTTATGTTAATAATTAAACACAAAAATTAAAAAAAAAAAATTACAAGGATTTAAAGACAAGGTGATTGTCACAGAGAGGCCTTGTTTGGAATACAAAAAGTCTTTATTTTATTTTTTTAATTTCTTTTTTACGATTTATTCTCTTCTTTTGGGAAAATTCTAATAGCAAAAGCGAGAGTTTTTTCTCTTTTTGTTTATAAAGTTTTCATATACGGGGCGCATACACCACAAGAAACATACGAAAATATTATAGTATGATTTTGAAAAAGTAAAAATTTTTCAAATCAGTACACACCTAGACTCGCTAAAGATCACTTGTCATTTTTGTATTCAACACAAAAAAATATAAAAGAACAAACTAAAAAAGAAAATTTGAATTACAGTGCGACTACTCTTAATAAAAATCCAAAAAAAAAAATACACTGCGCTCTACTACTACTACTACTTCTGATTTAGTATATAGATAAATGTATATATAGAAAAATTTATAACGGAATATTCCAAAATAATATATACATACATACATATTGAAAAGAAATATTGAAAATTTAAACGGAAATCTTTATATAACGGTTCAAATTTAAAAAAAAAATAGTAAAATAAAAATTTAAAAGATTTTTAGTTTCTGGTGTCTACTCATTTAATAAAAGTAATAAATCAAACAAACTTTATATATATATCTTAAATAAAAATATATAGTTAATATTCAAAAAAAGTAAATCCCTTAGATAATACAACAACAGCAACTATTTATTAAATACAATTTTATATACTAAAAAATTGTATATAAAATAAGCAGCCGAATAATAAAAGTGTAAGCATTTTTTTCAAAATTATTCGATTTTTTATTTCATACCCATACACATACACCCAAACCCCTTGAAAACGAAAATATTATTCCATTTTCTTTTACTATATTTGGTAAAATTTTGAAATATACGATTTTCTACTTGTTCTTGTCATTGTTGTTGCAGCCAAACTAATAATAGTATTTAAGAAAAAAGCACAACAAAATAAATTATAAATAAAAAAAAAAAGAAAAAACGATTTAAAATTAAATAATGTGCAAATATACTGAGTACACCTGATTTCTTTATGTTTAAATGTTATTTATTTTTCTTTTTCAATATTTCTCTTTTTATTTTCAAAAATTTTCTGTTAATTATTTTGTGTTGTTTTAATTTAAAAGCGAAAATAAAAATAATATAAATAAATAATAAAGCTAAAAAACACAATAAATGAAAAAAAACACAACATCAGCAACATTTTTAAAGACCAGCAAACCAAACGTCCACGAAATTTTTGTTAAAAATAGACTATTCGTTCACTATTTTTATATACACATGAGAGAAAAACAGAAAAAAGAAACATTAAAAAAAGAGTCCAATATAAATATTTGAATTTCGGAAAAAGAAAAACAAACACAAAATATAAAATTTATGTAGAATTTTTTTCCTGCGTTTTTTCGAAGCCGAAATAAAACGATAAATTATAGAAAATTTTGAATATACTTAACAAGTAATGACAATTTAGCGTTTTATAAAGCTCTCTGAATAGGTCAAATTATTACTAACTTTACTACTATACAATACAATTACACATTATATTCTAAACTAAGTTAAAGATCAGGTTGACGATAACCCTTTGTAATGCTGCAAACCAGAGTCTCTGGTAGGAATCGAACGACCCCAAACTGTTAGGCTGAAGCCGTCTAATTTAAAAATACCGATAAAGAAACGAGATACTCTTTGAGAGACTAGATTGTTGTTGAGACTAAATTGTTGTGCTAGATATAGCTGTAAGAGTAGGTATTGGTCCTAGTTCTAACTTTTTATAACGTTTTCTATAGACTAAAGTTATTTATTGAGAACAAAACATGATTGCTTTTATAATTATTATGGATTTTTAACTAAAATAAAAATTTTTTCACCAAACGATCGA